TAGAAACAATTATGGATATCAAAGTTAAATTATATATTATTCAAGGAAATTGAAAAATACGACGAAAAAAAATAAATCTAACATTAAGTATTAGTAGCCCTTTTTTAAGCAAAAACTAAAACAATTATTTATTTATTTTTTAACTTGTTAATTTTACAGAGACAAGTGCTATAATAGTATCTGATTTATTTTGCGGTTGTGCTGGATTTTTTCCTTCAAATAAACCATAAATGTAATAATAATAACACCAAATAAATTTGTGCAATGCTTATTTTTTTAATACTTATATTGATTTCTAAGAAGACTTTTAAGAATAGGTGAATCAATATTTATTTGAACGCGAATTTTTTTAGACGATTTATATATTTTTTTAACAGATTTTATTTTATTTTTTTAGAAACATAAAATTTGATTTTAATAAAAAGTTATATAAATTAATAAAAGTTTTTTAATTAATAGAAACATTTAATTACCTAAGTTGTTCGGCATCAATTCTTTGAGGCTGCAGCTCGTAATCAGGGGTCTGTTTAGAAGAAATTTAGGTCCGTTAACTGACCCTTCACAAAATATCATTTCATAAAAACGGATCCTTCACAAAATAGTTTATCTTTTAATCGGACTCTTCACAAATTTGTTTATCTTCATTATTGTTTTTTTAATCGAATAAACCCTTCCCGGGGGAGGGGGTAAGAAAGACGGTTCCAGACAAACTAAGTTTCCCTAAGTTTAAATTCCAAATGCAGTATTCTAAGAAAATATTTCTACTTTTACAAACATCATGCACGCATTCTTATTAATATTAATTCATAATTTATTTATTTTTTGCAAATAAATAATTGATCAATTTATGTTTATTCATAAAATTAACTAATAAAATATTATGTAAATAAAAATAAATTGCTGGCAATTTTTGAAATAAATATTATAAATTTAAGAATTGTTTTTTAAGTTTACTTAATGCGTAACACATTAAAAGTGATACATAATTAAGTTGTGTTATTTAAAATATGTCAATTGAAATTATTAAAAATGTGATTGATTTTGTTTCCATTATTTGTCCGAAATGAATATTCTGTGTTGAGCAGTATTGGCTAAATACCAAATATTTGTATGTTGCATCTCTAATATAGTAGCAGCAATTGTTAAGCAGAATCTTGTATTTATTTACAATTTAAAAACTTGAAAAGGTTTTTAGCAATGTTTGCAATAAAATGTCCCTATTTGTACAAATTCATAAAAGCAGGACCCTGGTTGAATGAATGTGACTTAACGCTTATTTTATATTCACAAATTATGAATAGTTTATTCACGATGTTGCAAAAGCAGGACCTTTCACAAAATGTCTGGACAGATCCCTGGTAATGCACAATTTGTCGTGGAACAATTTGGCAGGAGCACAATTCGTCCATAATTCGATGCGGCGACAATTCGTTACGGGCACAACTCGTGTGGCAATTCGCACTGAGCACGATTTCTTGCAATTTTAATCAAATGTATCCATTTAGGAAGACAAAAATCTTGAATTGTCTACAAAAGCTCTTAACTTGTCGCCGTTCAATGATTACGAAAGCACCCAATAGAAGCTAAAGTACCCTTTTTTTTATAAGAAGGGAAAGGGGTTTATGATTTGTTATTATTTTCTAGGGGGCAGAAAGGTATGAGCAATGGTTGCGTATAACATTAAAATTCGATTATTTCCACTTTTATTTTATGCATGCAAAAATATGGTAGCAAAGAAAATTAGGAAAATATTAAACTTGGAGAGTTTCATGTTTGTAATTTAAGTTAAATTTGGGGATGGGAAAAGTTGGAAAAAATTACTCTAATGAGTTTTGAGGTCAATGATTAATGAGGTCAAGACTTTCGGCCACCGCAGCAAATCGTAAAAAATTATTAAAGAATATTCTACTCAAAATTTTATAAAGTAAATTAAAATGTAAATTTAAGTTTATGAAAAGTTAATTTTATTTAAATGTATTTCTAAAATTAATTACTACAGTAAAGTTCAAAGAAGTAAAAAAAAAAAGAGAGGGTGTTGGAAATTTAAGCATGCATAGAAAGCATGGAAAGGACCTTTTTAAATTTCACTTTAATTTAAAAATAAAATCTTTTCAATTCAAGAATAATATATTTTTACTTAAATTGTTAAGCATGCTGTAGTAATTAAAATTTCTAATTTTTTCTAAAAATCAATGAAAATTATCATAATTCTTCTACCAGTATTTTTATTTTTAATACGACACTGTGCCAGCTGAATTAAAGTAATTTAATGAATATTACGAAATAGTTTATAAGTGATAATAAAACATAAAATTTTGAAAAGAAAAAAAAAAGCGGAAAAAAAAAAGTTTTAATAACTTAGTATTAGTGTTTGAAATAGTTTTAAGCAACGCGGATGCGGAAATAATAACATTTTGCCCATAAACTATAAAAAAGTCCAATTCGAGTGCAGTAAAAATTTTAAAAGTTATCGGCAGTTAGTAAAATATCTTTAAAATCTTATCTTAATTTTTAATTTATAAAAAAAGGACTCAAATAAGGAAGGAATCATTTTGCAATGTAAAACACCATGTAAAATTGCAATCGAAAAATCTGTTTACCTTGCAAGTCAAAAATATTTCAATTATTATTAAATGAAATGAATAAAATTATTAAAAATTATTTCCATCTTTTATTTTTGTGCTAAATTTCTCCGATTCTTTGAATAGTTCTAGATATATGAAAAAACAAACTTAACAGGGAGAATTTCGAATATTTTCTCAGTTAAACTATTCGGACCAGATTTTTCAGATTGTGGCAACTTCTGGTCAAAAATAGCAATCCAGTGTAAGAAACAGATGTGTTTCTCTAGAGAAAGTATGTAAAAGTCTGTTATAATGAACCTTTACCCCCCCATTTATTATGAACTATTTTGTTTTAAAATACATATCCAGGGTAGACTGATTTTGTGCATAGATTGTAAACTGAATTACGTAGCTCTGTACTTAATAAATTTCTACTACAGAAATGCTTGAAGAACAAGTTTCTGGAAGAATAAAATTAAGTGCAATATTGTAATTATAAGTTGGTATACTGTTGACAATGTAAGAAGCATTTTATAATGATTCTATTTTTCAAATGACGATTCTTATGTCTGGAAATGACAGGTCTTAAAATGAAAAGATTCTTTTTTTAAATACAAATAATAAATCAGGTAGCAACAAGGGCACCGGCAGAATAATATAAAAGGGGGTGCAACCATCAAACAAACTAACTCCCCCCCCCCAAAAAAAAAGAAAAATTAAAAATATTCTGTTATTACATTTTGTTTTGTTATTACATACTTTCATCTGATAAATTTTTTTTCAAGATACATTTCTTCATTCTTAACAAGATATTTTTACGAATTTACGTGTTACGAAATGTGGAGGAAAAGAGAAAATTCTTATGAATCCCTCGAATACATCGATTTAGTTATTGAGGCCACACCGTTTTATCCAGCTGTAGCGGAGGCAGTCAAAATTGGCCTAACTCTTCCAGCTACTATGTGCACTATTGAACGCACTTTTAGTACAATGCGACTCATCAGAACATAGAATCGGTCTACAATGTCTCACGAGAGGTTAAGTAGTTTGTGCATGCATAAGAAAAGAATCAAAGATGACTCAGAATTCATTGAAAAAGCTATAAACAGATTTGGACAGCTAACAAAACAATTACAATTCTTGTTTGATTAAACAATTTTTTAATTGTTATGTATCAATAATTACTTAATTATTTGTTTTTGAATAAAAATATTTTTAATAGAAAATTTATACTCCTTAATTGTTTGAAAAAAAACCAGGGGGGTGCAAGTGCACCCCCTTGCACTCCGCTGCTGGTGCCCTTGGGTAGCAAATATATGTTTACAAGAAATACAACTCAAGAGAATCTCAAAACACAATGATCACGTTGTGAGCCAAATAGCTTCAAAATACACTGGAATTAGAACAGTGATTAGAATATAGGCAGTGAAGTGTTTCCAATACACCCTAGAGTAGAAAACAGTGATAATTACTAGCGTATAGCTCTATTTGATAAAAAAAATAGTTTATTGAGCGTATTTAAATATTTCATTATTTTATATTCACTATGTCAGAGAAATTCAATGAACATTATGTGGTAACATGTGTGGTCTATGTCACCAAATTTATACCTTTAAAATTATCTGATACCACATGCTTTTTTTATATTTATATTAGTTCTTTTAAAACGTATTTCTTGTCGTAGTTCATTTACCTCGCACTAGAGCTGCACAATAGGCTATTGGCGACAGTCTGGAAAACATCCCTGAGGATCATCCGAAAACATGCCATGACAATTTTGATCCTCTGCAGAGGGGATGGCACCCCCCCTCCATTTCGGTAACCTGACGACCTGCATGCAAAGTCGAGCACTTTAAGGTAGAACAGTTTAACGAGGACCAATACCGCACACCCTCGGTCCCTACGCAGACTGATCAAAGTGGTCATCCACCCACACACTGACCGCAGGCAGTGATGCTTGACTTCCGTGCGGAATTCGAATTGACCAGCCATTTGGAGTCTAGAACCTGTACTAAACCCTACTAAAATTTTGAATCTTTAAAGCAATCACTTCAGTAAGAATGGGATAGATGAAAGGTAGATAGATAGATAGATAAAAGACTTAGGTAAATAGATATAAAAGAATTGCTGCCCACAGTTGAAAATTTCAATATATTCTTGCGCCTCTGTCTCACTGCTAAAGGCAGCCACTTTGAAACCAATTAAATTTATTTATAAGTAAAAGTATTTTATTATAATTTGTTAGTTTATTCGTTTTCAATGAAGTTATATTAAAAACTGTCTGTGCCTTTTTGCTACAAACTGTAGTTCAGAATTAAAGCTTTGCTATGTTATAGGAGGCAAAATGTGGCTTTTTTAAGTTTTTTCATTTAAAGAACTTTTAAATCAGAAACGCCACTCACCATAGTAAAGTGGAATATTAAAGCAACAACATACCTTTCTGAAATGTAAGATCTCCATTTTCTTGAGCAGTGAAATCACTTATTGCAGCAAACAACTCGTCTTCGTCTTTCAATGGAGGTACTTTCAATTCGATAGTGAAACCAATTGGGAAGTTTCCCTCCAGATTATTGCACTTTCCTACAGACCACTGCTTGTCAATACGTTCAATCACCTGAACAACATCTCCAATTTGAAGAGGTAATTCATTTGAATCATCTGTTGGAAAGTCATAGAGAGCCTTCACAAGCCTTCCAAGTTTGGGTTCCATTACTAAAATAAAATTATTGTGGTCACTAGTTTATAATTGATGTCACACTTTTTTTCAATATATTTAACTCCCCTTTGTCACAATATTGACACACTTCACTGTTACACATGTCATGCTATATTACAAACACGTATAGTATTTGCAATTCTGAATCCAAGTACCATGCTTTAAAATACACTCATGGACAAAAAAAAATTTCGCACCAAGAAGGAGTCGTCAAATTGAAATGAAATTTTACATACGTAATGACTACTTTGATATAAGTAAATGATTAAAAAATCAAAGATTATTGTTTTTCTTTGATTTTCTAATCATTTACTTACATCAAAGTAGTCATTAGGTATATAAAATTTCGTTTCTTTTTGACGACTCCTTCTTAGTGCGCTAATTTTTTTGTCCATAAATGTATAATTCATATATAAACCTTATATGTTTTGATAACATTAGTGAGTATGACAATAATGCTTATTATGTGCACTTATTTTGTATGAAACAAGATTAAGGTTAATTAAGATGAATCAACATGTTAATGATTTATTTTGGTAAATTTTTTTAGTAAATTTGAGATTATCATTAATTTTCTATTAAATATATTGACACACAAAAATGGGTTCAGACAAAAATTTCTGATTGATACAGATGTCTGTTAAACTTGAAATTGTCTGCCAAAGTAAAATAGCTAGGCTGACTCAACTTTAAAGCAGAGGTGGCATTTTCTCCAGGGAAACCTATTTTTCTTATGACAATGGAAGAAAGTGGAAAAAAACTAGATGAAATGGAAGAAACTAAGAATGACCAATATTATTGTTCAGCAATAAGCAATACAAAATAGCTAAAATTTAAATAGATATTAGATTTAAAGTAGCATGCACAAGGGCATTCAATTTCAGCAAAATGTTTCAAAGTTAAAATTTAAAAATATAAAGGAAAATGTTGACGCAATAGATTTGTCATGCAGATCCATTTCTGTCACAACTTCCATTTCAGACAAAACTGCGAAATTTAAAGAAATATATGTTGGTATGTATAGTAATCAATATAGAGTAAAATAAAGAAACAAATTTCACCAAAAGTAGTTGGAGACAAAATAGAGGTAACTAGTTACAAGAGTCAATAAATTGTTTACAGAAGCTTTTAAAGTGATATTGGGCATTCACAGAAAGTTTTTCAATTTATGTAAAAAAAAAAAAAATATGTGTGGTGTTAATAAATAATATATGAATTTAATGTTAACACATACCCATGAATGTAATGTACCTAACAGATCAATTACATTGAAAAAATAATTAATATTCTTCTAAAATTTTGCAAACTAGAAAAGATTTCTATTTGAAATCAATAATTTTTAAAAAGAACAGTTTTTAATTTTTCTGGTTGCCTCTGCCTATCAGGAAATTTCTCGCCAAATTTTTTGTTTTGAATCCTGCAACTAAATGATCACTTAGCTTTGGCAACAACCGAATTTGAAACAACTTCAATGAAGCCCATTGAACATATACTTTCTAAATGTATTGGTATTGCTAGTGCAATTATCGAACAGTGGCGTTTTAAATTTGTAGTATATGTCAAAATGTCCATAATAATCGCTCACTAACGTTTTAATGATAAATTCTTCACACAACCATTTTATCTTTGAGCAATCAGAAAGAATACACTGATCATAGTACACATGTGCAAGAAAATGCAACACTCATCTTTAAAAGGGGGTGAGAAAAATCATCCGACTATTATTGTCATAAGTGATGCTTAATTAACTATGGTTACTGTTCGTCATTGTGCTAATCGTTGCTGTGGTGAGAGATACTAAATGTAATGATAATAGGTTTTTTGCATCTTCATTTAATTGATTGAATGAGTGCATGCATTATATATGACAGTTGCTCTTCCAAAGAAAAACTTTAAAATACAAATCTAAGAACAATAAATATAAATCTATTCACACATGTGTTTTGTGTCAAATTCTCCAATGGTAATGTTACAAACTTAAGGTTGTTTAAGGTTAAGGTAAAAAAAGGGTTGTAATTATAAATATTTCGAAACAAAATGAAGATACAGTGGAAATCTTTTCAACACAAGCATGGATGATTTGAAATACTAGGAAATTTTAACTAATGGTAATTTTCCTAGAGCAGCAGTTTCCTGTTTTTTCGTTTATGGAACCCTAAATGATAAAATAATTTTTCAGTAAAAACATGACTTCTTAAAGAAAGACATTAAGTAGGTATCAAACAATAAAATACTTATCTGTTTTGAAAATACTTCGTAAGAAGAATAAAATTTTTCGTTTTATCATTAGTAATCTTAAATTTGGATTTGGGTAGAATAGTTGAATTTGCTAATTTGGAGCTTAATCTAGTCTAGCTATGAATATCTTTTCAATGTATAAGCGGAAAATGAATAAAATAAGTCGAATGATAATTTTTGTTGATATGAAAACTAAAAAGAACTGTTTCTTTATTAACAAATCTAAGGCAAGGAAAATATTAAGGCAGGTTTTTATAAATGCATGTCCTTTCCATAACTTATTCAAAACAATGTTATTACAAAAACTATATTAAAACTTTTTTTAATTTCCTTTTCATGGGCATAATACTTTAATAATTCATTAAAGTAACTGAATTATTGAGTAAATAATGGAATATTGAAATAATCGCATGTTTCAAAAATCCTAACTTTCCGAACCTAAGTGTTCTGTGGAGCCGCTATTTTAGAGTATCCTAATGTTAAAGTTTTATCTATTATTTGAATGTCTTCCCAATATTTCGGTTAATTTGATTCAAAACTCAATATAATGAAAAATCTAAAAATATTTCACCTTCGGTAAGTTATTTCCAATCTCTGAGATGATCCAGGAAAAATAACTATCATTAATCTTTATGATTTGATTAAAATGGTTAGCAAATCATTAAAATAAGTCACTTACTATTGCTTACTTTTCTGTAAAGCAAAATGTATCTTTAAAGATATGAAGTCACTGTTTCAGCTATTATGATCAACTTTTATATCAAGAATGCAGGAAGTTTTTTCTCGAATTATGATGGATTTGTAATGAGAATGTCAATTGTGGTACAAAAATAAAACATGACACTGTACAAGAAATGAACGAAAACAGGTGACCGATGATGATGAAGAATTTCCAAATGAGAACAGAAATGTGTCTCTTTTGAATCCTAGAAATGATTAATTATCTAAGGAGGTATGTGAAATCTCAAATTAATATAAAAATAAGTTATTTCATGGTCTTGCTAACAATTTAAAATTGGGCCAACTGTTATCCCAATATATTTTAAAGCCATAGTCATATAGAGATAAATCCCATGAACGTGCATGTTAATTGGGTGCTATGAATTATCGATGTATAATAAAAATTATTAGAAATGTATGAGTTCATGGTCATTATTAAAATTGTATTATTTTTTGACAACTATTCAATTGAATTTTTTTGTTATTATATTCATTAATTAGAGCTTATTTTTGAAGTTTTTTCCCCCTAACTCTTACAGTTCGAATTAAAAAGAGTGTTTTGAATACCAATAAATTTATGGCAGATAGTAATTGATCATATTACTAAATGCTAAAAATTATGTGTCAAATAGAAATAATTTCAAAAGATTGTATAATCAAAAAATGAAATTTGTTATAAAAGTTTTAACATGACAGTTATACTTTTTTTTCTCACTGCAGTTTAGAGATCCAACTCATAAAACGATGAAATCTGAACATTTTCTCTTTACTTTCAAACTATACCTCAATCTGTTATTTTAAACTTTCACAGACTAATATCAAATAAGTATAATTTAGATATCTATGTCCATAGAAAGGCATGCAAGAAGTAAGGTATCGTTTTTGGCACTTTCGTTGCGTCAATATTTACGCTACGCGGCCATCTGCAGTCAAAACAAAATTAAAGTTGAAGTATTTTGTATAGTCTAAAGTTTAAGTTTTGAAGTTCACTTTTGTGCTAGATGGAAAGCCTTTATTTGGATCCATTATTTCTTTAAACACATAAATGGCAACGGAGCTTCAGTCTCTAACTGCAACTGCCCTTATGAAGTGAGGTAAAATTTTTGGGTAAACGTGTTACCGTGTGTAGTGGCCGCTTACGATCTTAATAATTTTAATTAATTATTATTTACGATGACGAATCCTACAATTTCAAAGAAAAGGAAGGTAAAACCATTTATTTACTATAGCATCATTTTAATTGTCTTATAAACATTGCTAAGTAATCCTGAACTTACGTGTAAACGTAAGGCCTAAGACGTTATCAAATATTGTAAATTCATAGAAAAATAATATTTATTGGTGTGAATTCTTTTTAAAAACATAATTTTTTCTTGGCAATATCATAGCCTCATATGCTTGTTAATATAATTTTTTTTAATTATAATAATATAGATGTTTGATTAATATTTTTAGCCAAGATCTAATCCTGGCAGCATTGCTTTTGTATATTCGTTACATGGTATTTATTTGCGTACATGAATTTTGTATCTGAAACTGATGGGGATATTTCTGATTTGTGATCTATCAAACTAAACTTAAAACGCCAAATTGCGGAAAAGTTGTAAATTTTATTTTAAATAAAACATGGAGTATGCCTTTGGATGGCTAGGAGTTGTACTCTTCGTAATTCCCTTCTCTTATGTAATTTTTACTCTCTCGCGGGTGCAGATAGCTTCCAAAATTGATATTTTCCATCTTGAGGTTTTGGAATGTGTTAATCTTAGATTAATTTACTAGAAAAAACTTTATCAAATACAGCATTGTTACCATTAACTATACATGTTGCAGGATGCAGTGTATTTAATAATTCTAAACAGAAATTCAGAACGACTCAACTAGGTTCAGTAGAAATGCTTCCTAAATTTAGAGAATTGTGAATTTTATTTTTCTGTTAGATTTCTACTTATTTTTTTAGTTTTTCTGATGGAATGAGTTATTTAAAATATTCATTGAACTATTTATGTCAGTTAAAAACTAAAGTGGATCCTTTAAAACTGTCATCAGATAATTGTTTATTTTATAATTGTTAAATCAATTCTAGAACAGGTTTAAAAACTTCCATGTTGTGTAGCTAATGCAATATTAAATAGTGGTATGAAAAAATATTTAATTACTGCCTATGGGGTGGACCGGGAGGTTGGAGGTCACTTATTGCTGTTGAAGTACTTTCTAAATTGAACAAAAATATTTATTTAAAAGAGGATAGAGAACATTTCTGTTAGACTTTTGACTTGTTTTTCTTATGATCAATTTTAAAATTATTTATTGAAATTAAAATTAATAACTATCTCTATTTTAATTAAATATTAAGATTAGAATTTCTGAAACTACTTCCTGCAACTTTATTTATCCCTGAACTATTTCATTATTTTTATTTGATTTGCCCTCATCAATTTCTGTTTTTAAAGTTAAATATTGTCTTTCAATCATTGCCATAAATTTTTTTATATGGAAGCATTACTTTTAAGATTTTGTATATTAATGCTGGCCTCTTCATTAATACTTCATCTTTCAGTGAGGAAACGAAATTAAGCGTAAGTCAACTCTAAAAGTTTCTTTTCATCATCAACCAATTCTTCATAGCCTCGATAAAAACACATGTAAAAAGATGCTGAAACAAACTGAATATAAAAGAGCTGAAAAAGTCCCTTAAGAATATATCAGGATATTGAATAAAATCCTTTTGTGTTTATTTAGATCGAAAATAAATTAAGGTTGAGTTAAATAATGCTTAAATTTAGTCACCCTGTAAATTCCTTATAAGAAAATCACTATCTTACAGCTTGTAAAACATTTATTAAAAAATAAAATTAAAATTTTTAACACACAAGTGTTTTCCGTGCATTTCCAGGAACTAAGGTCTGTTTAAGATGGAGTTGCGATGAATAGTAATTTTTATGGTTACCATTTTATTTAAATTTGCAGATTTGCGGTTACCACTAATCATGCCTTTTATTTAGACATATGTTTATGGGAATTGTAATTTTTATTTAGACGGGTGATGTTCTCGGCAGTAAATTCTTTTGCCAGTCATCTGACTAATATGTTCACTAGGAATACTTGCATTTTTATTATCTTTACTTTGGTTTCAACACAAAAAGTGTTTTATGTGTTAAAAAAAAATTTAATTTTTATAATTAGTTTGTTGCTGATGGAGTTTTCAAAGCAGAATTGAATGAATTCCTACGAAGGGAGTTAGCTGAAGATGGTTACAGTGGTGTTGAAGTAAGAGTCACTCCTACCAGGACAGAAATCATCATTCTGGCCACTAGAACACAAAATGTCCTGGGAGAAAAGGGGCGAAGAATTCGAGAATTGACATCTGTTGTTCAAAAGCGTTTTAACTTTCCTGAGGGAAGTGTCGAAGTAAGAAATTTTCTTTCTTTCTGTTACATTTAACATTGTTGAATTGTTCTTTAAACGTAATTACTCTTACAGTAAATGTACTCTTTAAAATCTGTTTCTGCAATTGCATTGTTTCACATGCATTTATTTCGGACTGAAATTAACAAATATATCTTCAACACTTTTTGTTTTTAAAGCAATGTTAGTAACACAAATTGATAACATTTTTGAACTCTTTGGCACTTTTTATAAAGTATTTTAATAGTATTAATGTAAAATTTTGAGGAAATTTCTTAAATTTTAAACTATTTAGAGTGTTTTCTATTAATATTTTGTGGTTAATGATAGGATATTTTTGATTTTAAGTTTTTTAATAAAAAAAATTTCCAGAATTTTTTTAACTTTCTTGAAAAGTATATTTTATTTATATTTCTTTTTTTCAAGGTATTTAATATTAAAATTTTATTCTTGTTTTAAATGTTGCAACTTGACTTTTGTCATTAATCAAATATTAGTAATCACAAATTTTTGTTTTATAATTTAAATTTGACCATGGTAATTCCATTAAATCCATGTAATCTAAATCCATTTTCCTATTGCAGTTGTATGCTGAAAAAGTAGCTGCTCGAGGACTTTGTGCTATTGCTCAATGTGAGTCTTTGAGGTACAAGTTGATTGGCGGTCTAGCTGTCAGACGGTATTTTTTTTTTTTTTTTTTTAAGCCTTGATTTATTTCTGTACATTGAATGTTAGCAATTGAGAACAAGAATTACCGTCAACTACACTTATTTGCATTAATTCAATCTCACTTAATTATTTCACAATTAATGCTTTTTAAAAAATCGGTTAAAGCAATTATGTCCACATTTGACTTTTTTATTACAAACTTTACTGTGTCTCCTTAAATAATTATAATTAGTGCTTTAATGGATTACAAGTTACATATTCAAAGTACTTGAGGGGTGGTCATAATATTCCACCGAAACACTTAAAAGTAAACTTTGCTCACGGATGGACAAAAACATACCTGGCAAGTCTCCTCTTTTTTGCTGAAGACTTCCGTATTTTACTGCTATCTCCCGTTTACCAGTACTCTTATATTTCTTCGCATTTTTTTAAAAGATTTTAAGAAGGCCTTTTTTAGTAATAAATATCAGCTTAACAGAAGGCTCTTTTACCAGTGCTACCCATATGCTGAAACGCTGGCCAAACTGGATGTGGTGAGAAGACCACTGTGAGTCTTTTGACGCTGACATTTTCTCCGATAACAAACTTCATTGTTTGCCTATGAAAATCTTGCAATAAATTCAATTGTTTTCATTGCATTTTTATGAGTGTTAAAACGAATATGTATTTCTGTTTTAAGAATCATTTACTGTGAGTGTCAATTGGGCAACTAGAAAATGAGCTGTATAAGAGAAGCAGTTCAAAAATATTGCGGATGTTTTGTTAAGTGCCCTATGCATTCCACATACCAATGCTGAGCATGACATAATTTTCTATGAAGTTAAAGAAATCAGCTCTGAATTTCGCTCATTACTTTCTGATGAAAAGTTTGAAAGCTTGCTTTGATAAAAAAAAAAAAATAGTTTCTCTGGTAACTGTTATGAAAAACTTAGATAAAAAATTTCCTATGCAAAATCAAATCAGTTACTTATGTTCGAAGAATGAATACATATAAATTCTGTAAAATAAAGCTAATTACTTAGAATTTTGAAAATTATTTTGATGTGGAGTGTTTAGAATATAAATACATAGCTGCCAAATCTACTAGATTTTCCAGGAGATAACTGAATTATGCAAGTTTCTCTTGGTTTACTGGTTGAATTAAAATTCTACTGGTTTTTGTGAATTTTTAGAAAATTCTCTAGTAAGTTGAAATAGAATTCTCATGCGGATTATAGCTTGCTTCAATATTTAAATAAGTATTAATACATAATGAAGCGACTCATTTATATATATCAGTTCAGAACTCTTTTTAAATTAATTTTTAAAAAACTTTTATATTTGATGAATTTAATACCCATTAATATTCGAAATTATAAGTATACAATATATAACATTTCAAGTATGTTTATTGTCACTCATAACTGAAAAATATTGCAATTTTGTTGTCTAAAAAGTCCCTAAAATTCATTTTGTGTAAAATATTTAGTACAGTATGCAACAATTATCATGACATGTTGGCAGCTATTTAAAATAGTTTTGAATTAAGATTTATTTACCTATTTTTTACATCGCTAAATGTAAGTGCTTATATTATTTCCATTTTTGAATTTTGTCTTGAACGATTATGCATGTATCAAAACTCACACATGTATCACGTAATCTGAAAAGTGTCGCTAGTAAAATCTGTTATTTTATTTCTCCAATGTTAGNGAAGCGACTCATTTATATATATCAGTTCAGAACTCTTTTTAAATTAATTTTTAAAAAACTTTTATATTTGATGAATTAAATACCCATTAATATTCGAAATTATAAGTAAACAATACATAACATTTCAAGTATGTTTATTGTCACTCATAACTGAAAAATATTGCAATTTTGTTGACTAAAAAGTCCCTAAAATTCCTTTTGTGTAAAATATTTAGTACTGTATGCAACAATTATCATGAAATTTATATTTCGTAAAATCTACTGAATTTTTTCCATCTCATGTTGGCAGCTATTTAAAATAGTTTTGGATTAAGATTTATTTACCTATTTTTTACATCGGTTAATGTAAGTGCTTATATTATTTCCATTTTTGAATTTTCTCTTTTTGTCTTGCACAATTATGCATGTATCAAAACTCACACATGTATCACGTAATCTGAAAAGTGTCGCTAGTAAAATCTGTTATTTTATTTCTCCAATGTTAGAAGGTATGCAAAGAGAAAATCACAATGTTCAGAGTTGCTCTGATATTTCTTATAAAAATATTCCCCGATTTTATTTTATTTATTTATTTATTTTTTTTTTTGTGCCAGAACATCTTTTCGGGATTCATACAGTCTTAAAAACCCCTTAATGAAGTCCTTAAGAGCTACTCTTTTTTTTTTTTTTAACAGGATCTTGATTATCCAAAGAAACAAAAAAAAAAGGGGCTAGGTTGACCATCGTGAATTTGCATTCATGAAAGTAATATACCTTGTGCAGAGCTTGGGGTGTTACTTTTTTAACTCTGCTCATTGTTTTAGATTGGTGCATTGACTTAAAATGCGTGTCTTTTTAAGGAGAGGGCTTGGCCAAAGGTGGCCCCTTGCTGATAGGTGTATAAATAATAAGTGATATATCTTTTTTTAATAATGTTGCTGTTCTACGTTATTCATTCTCATCAGAATTTAATATAAAATACTTTGTACTTACATCTTTAAAAAAGGTACTGGTCTGATTATGTTCTGTGATTATAGCACTTGAATCAAATGCTAATTGTCACTTAAATCTAGATTGTCATTCCAAATAGTTGGATTAATTGATTAAACCAATTTTTTTTCTCTTGGGATTTTAGAAAAAGCGATTTTAAGTTACAAAATTAAACGAAAATAAAGATATTAAAAATGAAGTATTTTTTAAAAAAAAAAAAAGTAAGGTAACAGTAAAATAACGGGAGTATGAAACTAAAAAATATTTTTGTTAGGCAAAATTGACAACAATGCTAGGCATGTTTGTTAATTTTAAAGGTGTCTTCATTAAGTTCTCATTTTATTGTTTCTGGTGTTTGTTTTCTTGAAACTGGTATATTTTTAGTAAATTTTAAAAAAAACTGAAATTATTTGTTTATTTTTAATATTGGAATACTTTTGCAGAGCTTGTTATGGTGTTCTCCGATTCATCATGGAAAGTGGTGCTAGAGGATGTGAAGTTGTAGTCTCTGGTAAACTTAGAGGTCAAAGAGCAAAATCTATGAAGTTTGTAGATGGATTGATGATTCACAGTGGAGACCCAACAAACTATTATGTTGAAACAGCTGTTAGACACGTACTTCTAAGACAAGGTGTGTTTCTTTTACTTGTCTCTTTATTCTCCACTTATATAGATTGTCTAAAATATGAACTCCCCAGACATCTACCTGGACCTGTGGCTGTGACTATAATAAAGAGGCATGACTATTTCAAGTGGGGTGCAAGATCACTGTTTTGGAGTGGTTTTGGCTTGGGTCCTCGAAAAAAGGTAATCTCTTTCTTCGTTCTATTGTGTTAGAAGCTACCCTCTCTAAAATGCACCACTCTTGTTTCGGTAGCATCAGAGGGCCTCAGGCTTTGTGGTGGGAGTTCTTAGCTTAGACGAACTAAAGTTAATTTTTAGTTGATGTAAATAAAAACTTCTATTCAGTAGTCTTCTGAAATACCGCTTTCTAGTTTACTGGAAAATCTTGTAAAATAAATCTGTTCTATTTTGCCAGTTTAACTGAAAGTGCTTCATGTTTTTAATCTCTCTGGTTTAAACCTCTCTGATTTAGAAATCCTTCTCAAGATTGGTTTTGCGATAGTGTTTATGGTATATAAAGCTTTTATGTCGTAATGAAGCTAAGCTTTTCTTTTTTTGGTTGGAGCTCTTTATTTTTAAATTACTACTTGAAATTTACTACCACTATTTATACTGAAAATTTATTAAATATCTCATTGTGCAACATTATGAATTAAAAGATATAAATTTCTTTAATCATGTACTTTTTGTGATACATAGTTAAAATATTGTTAATTTCTATTTTTATTGGTATAATTTTTGTATTTGGTTGGCTATAAAGTTAAAAATATTTCAAGTATTACATGAAAAAACTCTCATATTTATGTCATAAAAACTACATTATTTTCTCCTTATTTATTAGCAGAATTAAATCTTGTTGAGATTCTTATAAAATATTTATGACCGAAGGTTGAGATCAGGGGTATTCTTGACATATTCCAGCATCTGCTGTTAATTCGCCCTTTCTTAAACGTACCTTGCTTCTCTATTATTTATTTTTTACAACCTGTGAAGCCTTTATCTGAATTTGCACACAATTTGTAATCTTAACTCTGGTTTTTTCACCTAAAAATCAATATAAGGCCTTTTTTGCCCAATCAATATAAGGCCTGTTGCACATTTCTTGTTATTTTCAATATGAATTTTAATGTGCAGCAGATTTTAAAATCATGCAGCTTCCTGGACATCAGCAAAGCTTTGAACTTCAATGATTATATTTTTTGTTGCGACGAGTGGTCTGATATTTCATGTTGATTACAATTATATGAGGGGTTCATATTAGAGACTGATGTCGATACTGAAAAAGAATATTAATAATAATTTAGTAATAGTGGAAATATAAATAGTTATTTTTAAAATTATCTATTTTCAAATTGTATTTTCAATTTTTCAACAGAAAAATTCTTTCTTTTTTTAACTTTTTCTTACATGTTTTCTGTTGTAAATTATGATCAAGGTAGTTAACCCTTTCGAGCCGACTGTCACATATATGTGACAGCAAGAAACGCGCTCACTTCCCGGCCGACACACCCGCGTGTCAGAGAGTTTTCTCGTTCNCCCCCCCCCCCCCGACCGTCACTTATNCCTGGGGAGACACACGCTAGAGAGACTGCCGGCCTCAGCGGTAAGCGCGCTTTGCGTCGCGAAAGGGTTAAAGCCATATTTTGTCAAAGTGTTTGACAGTATTTTAATTGGTGATATTTTTTTTTCTTGGTTTATTATTAAATGGTTTCTTTAACAGCTTTAATGTGTGTTTACTGCTAAATGTCTTACTCTTTCTTAGTTTATCATTGGCCTTATCAACAATGAAACTGTTCTTTTATATGACAATTATAATTTATTTATAAAATAGTCTACTAAGGTAGATTATTCTTCAGTATGTATATTATAACTTCAGTGATTATAATTTTTGTTGCGATGAGTGGTCTGATATCTTATGTTGGCTTCAAATGTATAAGAAGTTTATTTTAATTTTTTTTATAATATCAGTCATGTAAAAAGATTCTTTTGTTTTAAGTTACATAAATTTGTTTACTTTTTATTGACTGATTTAAAAGAAATTTGCCATTATTGGCCCTCATATAACTGCCTTTACTGTGATAGGTTTAAACAGTGTGCATAGATTTATATAAAGTACTTATTTTTGATTTACGTTTTTTAAAAGCCCTTAAAATGTTTTTCTTTCTATTCGGGGTTTGTAAGAAGTGCCTAATTTTTCTGTCATTTAAATAAGATTTTTCTTTTCTTTGCTGTGTCGATTGTCATTCTAAATTACAAAAAGTGCAGGATTTTCACAATTTTCTCTGCAATATATATCAGGAACTAGTTGAAGTGCTTAGAAAGTACTTGAAAGGTGCTTATTTTTTCTAAAAAATCTGGCTATGCACCCTGTTATAACAATTGAAACTTGTGTTGGGTCAGTTATACTACTGTGTGGTGGTAAAGATTTAAACCTCAATGATTATAATCATTGTTGCGACGAGTGGTCTGATATTTTATGCTGACTACAATGGAATGAGAAGTTTAAACCTTTTATTTTTTTTTTCCTATTGATATAATATGTAGGCTGAGGAAAGGTACATTTTTCAGTCAGTGAGCTATTAATTTCTGAAAATTTTGCTAAACAATTCTTGACCATGTTAATTATCCAAATAATTCAATGAGGCTTTTGAGACTATTTTATTAGGTGAAATTAAATTTTTATTAAGTAATTCCTTTAATGGTGTTTACTAAGTCTTCTGCTAACATAATTTATTTTAAAATAGTCTACTAGGATAAATGATTCTTCAGTATTGATTAAAACTTCAGTGATTATAATATTTGTTGCGACGAGTGGTCTGATATCATGCTGACTATAATTGTATGAGAAGTTAAAAACTGTTCCTTTTTCTAAGACATATTATATAAAATGGATTTTATTTGTTTTAAATTACATTGTTATTTTAATTGATTGATATGAAAAAATTCCCACATGTAATTTTGGTTTTTCTGTGGTATATTTAAGGTATTTGAAAATTTTCTATAGGGTCAGATATACTACTGTGTAGTAGTAAGGATTTAAACTTAAATGATTATAATTTTTGTTGCGACGAGTGGTCTGATATTTTATGCTGACTACAATTGAATGAGAAGTTTAAAGATTTTTTTTTTTTTTGGTTAAATGCAGGCCATTCTCATGGAAAGGTGCATTTTGCATTTAGTTTTCTATTAGTTTCAGAAAATTCTGCTAAGCGATTCTTGATTGTGTTCGTTGGTCAAAAAATTCATTGTTGACATTTTTTAAGAGTGGTCTTCTTGAAAATTATGATCAAAGTAGCTAAACTCAAACTTCAACAGAGTTTTTGGAAGAAAATTCTTAGGTGAATTATAATTTTTAAGAGTCTTTGCAGTATTTCATAAAATTATTATAAAGTTATTTCTTTATCGGCTTTGTGCGTTTATAGCTAAATGTCTTACACTTAGTTTATCATTGGCCATATCATTAATAATGGAAATTGTCATTTTTTAGACGATTATAATTTACTTTGAAATAGTCTAATGGTGTATATTTTTTCTTCAGTATTGATTTGATTAAAACTTCAGTGATTATAATTTTTGTTGCGATAAATGGTCTGATATAAATTACTTAAATTGTATGAGAAGTTAAAAACTAGTTTTCCTTTTTTTTTTATTTTTTTAAAGAAAAGTTAAATAAAATGGATTCTCTTGTTTTAAATTGCATAAATTTGCTTATATTTGATTGATAGAACAAAAATTACTGCTGACTTAAATGTAACTATTTGCTTTTACTGTGCCAGATTTAAAGCAATTGAAAATTGTCTGAATTTTTGGGCCAAGTGTGTTGTAGTAAAGATTTAAACCTCAATGATTATAATTTTTGTTGCGACGAGTGGTCTGATATTTTATGCTGACTACAATTGAATGAGAAGTTTAAACCTTGTATTTCTTTGTGCTGTAGAAATCAACCAAAATGTTGGTTTGATTGATTTTAATTGGTCTATAAGATACATAATTTAATTTTGATCATTTGAACACATTCATCCAGAATGATTTGCATCATTTACTCATTGCTGTCCTTTTTTAATCATGAATTATTTTCTGCTATGTTTTAATACTAAACTATTGACTTCTGACTAGAAGATGGTGAATTTTCATCATGCGGGCAACTACCATTTTAATGTATTATTCTGGCGGAGCTATTGGTCAGGTCGAAGATCACATGTTACCATTTATGGTGTAAGGAATATCAAGGGGTTGCCTTATATAAGAGTAATGAATTCTGCATTCTTGACCTTGGTCATGAAATATCAACGCATTATAAGCAATGCTTAGATGGAAGAAGCTCTCAATCAATTTACCCTCTTTAAAAGCTAGTGTATTATGTTTTATATTCTTTTTTTTTTTCTTTTTTTT